TGCTTTTGTGTACTTTCAGCGGGAGAAGAGGGAACAAAAAACAACAAAGGGCGAGTGGCCACATGAGTTTTTTTTTTTTCTCACTCTCTCTCTCTTTTTCTCCTGTCGCTGTGTCGCAAAATCAAACGCCATTAATACTTTTCATTCACAATGTCCAATCCAGCAACTGAGACGTGAACTGTTAAAAAGTAAAACCCATGAAAGACATAGAAGGAAAAACAGCTTGTAGCTTCCTATGTGTGATGATATTTTCGGGGTTGCGTCGTTAGATCACGGATCACTAAAAGATTAAATCGATGAACCGTGCAGCCTCCGTGTACAGTACAGATCTCATCCAAAGTTATTTCTGCCGCCCCCCCCCCCCCCGGGTCCCCGGAACCAGCCTGACACGGCTTCCATACATAGAGACCCACTGTGCTTCACATTCTCATGGACACAAGCACGCTTTTGTCTGCTCGTTCCTCTCTATCTGCTGCCTGTGTGTGTGTGTGTGTGTCCTTAAATAAGAGACAGAGTTGTCGCTGAAATTAAAACCACAAGACAAACTCAGCTCTGTACGTGTGTGTGTGTGTGAGTGTGTGTGTGTGTGTGTGAAATATGACAGATGACTTAGCAGCGGGGAAGAAAACAGGAAAACTAGAGCGAAGCGAACAAAAAGGGACAATAATAAAGTAAGACGTTAAGTTAAGAGTCTTGTTTTATAGTTGCGTGCCGTTAAAGCGGCATGTGGGTTGGCACAAATATGGAAGATTATTAGCGGCAAAACGTTTGGATAAACAGTCAGTTCATTCAAGCTGTGATCAATCTGCACGGGACATATTCGCACTTGTAAAAAGAGGCGTTTGTTCCCTCACAGTTTTCTCTCTCAGTTTTGGGGGAGTTTCGCATTAAAATCCCACATTGGTCAGTGAGATGTGAAGCTGCGGCTGGCTAGCTTAGCTTAGCTTAGCCTAGCCTGTAGCTAAGCGAAGACTGCAAACAAATGGAAACAGACAGCCCGAAACGCTTTCCAAAAAGCTCACTAAGACAACATAGTGACTAGGCTCCTCTCCCTTAGCTCCTATGCTAAGCTAAGGCCAGCGACGCTCAGCTGAACCTTTTCCCTTGTTTCAGTAAGAATGGCGATTCAGCCTCCGTTACACTCGGAAACAAAGTCAACGCGAATACCAGCAGCTGCAGTGTTTGTCCCCATTGTTAAAATATTAAAACGTACTTAAACATTTTCATCCCTTTAAAAATCTTGATGGGTAACGTCCATATTTCATACACTCCATGCTAGCGGTTAGCTAAAGTGAGGGGGAAAAAAAATGGATTCCCTGCGAACAAACGTTGAAAAGCTAGTTATTTTATTTTTTAGAGTAATTTAAATGGGAGTAAACGGCCGGCGTTGCAGTTCACGCTGCATAAAAAGGGTTTGGAATCTTTTAAATGCAATAAAAAAAACAACGGCTCGAATTACTTCTGCGCTGGTTCAGCAGTTTGGGCGTTAATAAACTGCCATAGAAGTCCAGGCATGAATGGACGCCACCCAGACGAGAGCCGCTGCTCTCTTTTCTCCCCCACTCGAGACCCTTTCTCGTCTCTTTTGCGACTCCCTCCTTTCTCCCGCGTCCGTCTTTCAATCTCCTCGTCCGATTTAAAAAGGGTTTCATGGCCGTGCAACGGGAGGCGAGCGGAGAGCGGAGGCCCAAGCGCGCTTTGGTTTCATCGGCTACGCGAGCGCAGTCCCGAGGCGCCGTGTGTAATGAAGACACATCGACGAGCGCGAACGCGGGAGACGAGTCCTCGAGCACCTAAAAGGGATCAAGCGTATGATACGCCGCTTATTTCACAACACTTTCATTATTCCCTTTCCGATTGCACTGTTGATCCACCTGCCGAGTGCTTCAAACACACACCGTCACACAGAAATATAAATATATATATATTTATATTTCACAACCACCCAAACTCCATTCACCCGTCACACCAAATGACGTTGCCATGGAGACCAGGCCTGGCTTTGCTTTTGGGTCTGGAGTTACCTAGCGACAGGCCAGAGACCATCCTCCCTCCCCTCTCACTTCACCTTGCACCCTCCACAACCCTTTCACAATAAAAGCCCCAAACGACTGACACAAAAACACACGCACAAACTTAAGGAGGAAAGTCACGTGTTGAAATGTCCTTTTTTAGACTTAGTGATGGAGTTGTGGTGTATTTATATAGAACACTATCCACACACACACACACACACACACACACACACACACACAGACAACATTAAACATCAATCATTCTACATCCGTGCGCAACAAAAACTCATTTGTCTCCTTTTATCGAAGCCGTGCATGAAGAGAAAACACGCACACACCGAATGTGCAGGACATCAGCAGGGAAACAAGCCTTCACATCTCACCATGGCAACCAAACCACCGGGATAGCAGCTCAAAAACCTCTGACAGCGATCTGGAAACTGGAATAGATTCTCCTTTTTGTTCCTTTTCAAAATCGCTCATTTACTCCTCATCCTTTCTTCTCCTCCCACGTCGTCCTCACCAGTCCAGTCCTCAAAAGATTTCCAATTTCCAATAAAACAAGCGAATCCCGGTGGAAACGTATTATCGCGTTGTTCTACTCACTGACGAGATGAGACGGTTGTGTAACTGTGAAATGTGCAGTCGAGTCTGTGAGAAGATCCTTCAATGTTCCTCACAAGGTGCCATCAAACCGTAAAGCCCCGTTTACCCGTCTAGTGGGCAACACGAGCTGTAACGCGCATGTCATGTCAAAGTAAACGTGCGGAAATGACAATCCAATATTGCACCACTTCTCTACCTCCTCATTACTAAACACTCCGTGACATCCTCCCCCCCCTCCTCCCCCCTCCGTCTCTCAGCCTACTTTCTCGTTTCCCTCAGCCTCCCCGTCCTCAAATCCCCCACGAAAGCCCCGTCGCCCTCACAGAGACCTGTCCGCGTGGGGTCAGCGCTACAAAAACCAGCAGCAGATGTTGCATCTTTTACTCTTGTTTGCCCCCCAGTGCTGTTTGTAATGTGCATGCATCTCCAACCCTGCAGCAGCAGCAGCAGGAGGGGGGGGGGGCGATTAGCGAGTGGGAGGCGGTTGCCGATGGAAACGAGAGTCCGCCTCCAAAGTCTCCCTCTCAGGTCAGAAGTCCCTCCCACCCGTCCACGGGCATCATTCTGCAGTATTATTTTGCTGAAATGATTCTGGAAGAGTCAAGAGTCTTAAATCTGTGTTCGCTGTCGTCCTTCTCTTGTACTTAAAAGTTGGACCACACGGCTGCGCACTTCATTCAACACGTAAAATAAATCACCACATTGTTCTGTTTATGCGGCGGCGGAGTGGAAGTTAAATGGCGGCACGAGATGTAAGCGCTTGAGTACGTCTACGTTCCACCACTAAACCGCCGGCGTTGCCCCTTCAAGGCCGGCCCACGTCTTCATTCTCATAACAATCACGTGACAGGAAATGGAGCCGTTGTTATTTATTCGTACCGGTGATGAAACAACAGATTATTTTGTGGATGTTTGTCATCGGCAGACGGCCCGTTTTTTGCAGATTTGGCAGATGACATCTATGCATCAGGTCGAGACACAAGCGGTCGAGCGGTCGGAATCGGCTCTCGGCTGCTTCTCCTGCCGCTTGTTAAAAGGCGCCATCATCACAGGAGCATCCTTTGCATGGAAGACCGACCCCCCCCTCCCAAAGCCACGGGCCTGGACAGCAAACAGAGGAGCGTAGGGGGTGATATTGTGCATGGGATTATGGGATGAGAGGGGGATAGATAGTGCGGGGGGGGGGGGGGTTGTAAGGCGGGTTGGGTCCTTTTTCCCCCCCTCACAGAGTCCAATGAGGCGGGCGAGCGCTGCCAGCACTCATCAGCTCAGAGGCCCAAAGCCAGAGAGATGGCGGGAGAGAGCGAGGTGGAGGAGAAAGCGGGAGGCGCTAATCGGGGGAGAATATAGGCCACCGGCCCGTTTTCCACTGAGGAGGGAAAGACGATTTGCCGTGC